TGTGTGTGTGTGTGTGTGTGTGTGTGTGTGTGTGTGTGTGTGTGTTGGGCCAGGGAAAACAGTTGCATTTATTCAGAAGTTGTTAATCTGTCTGTCCAGATCACAGTGTTTTTACTTTTGCTTTAATTCCAACATGTTGGGAGGTGTGTTGTTATTGATGATACACATTTATAAATTTGAATGCTCAGAGCTAAACGTTGTGGTAAGCAAACAGGATACTCAGTTACTCCCTTAAGCATGGAGGTAAAACTGGTATTCTAGAGAAACAAGTAAGGTAAGAGATTTGTAGAATTACGGTATCAGCTGTCATGATGCGTTGATACCTTATACATGATAAAACTGAGGGCAAACAGAGAGGAAGAGGTAAGCCTGGAGTCAGGAGGCTGTTGAAAGCAGGCAGTGGATGGGTTTAAGTTTGCACCTTATAATACAATTGAGGAACCCTGAGGCCCTGTTTCCTTATGCTTTCCACCTTTCTGTCGATCTGGAAAATGGGTAAGGAATGTTTACTGAGTAGGTTTCTGGGTCTGGCTCCTAATGGCACTCTTTAAACAGCAGATAACACAACTAATTAGTGTTTCAGACACAATGATAGAAGAAATTGTTGGAATATAGTAAATAAAAACAGTTTTCTTTCCCCAAGTCTAGTGAGGAGATCATAAAATCTTTACATCAGTGATTAAAACAAAACAAAACAAAAAACTGCTTCATCTTCCAAGAGCTGAAGTGTAATAAGTGGCTCTTAATGATATAGCTTAAACAAGATACTTGAAGAAAAAAAAAGAAAAGGTTAAAAATGTTGGACTGTATGCTGCATGCTTATTTTGAATTTAAATAATGAAGTTATAGAATCTATCACATAATGCATAGAGATAAAAAGCCCATTTGGCATTATACTGCAGAATTTTATTTTGGAGAGAAGGATGAACCATTAATTATTTTCTGAAAGAATAAGTAGAAAAAAAAATTCCAAAGCCGGGCGGCGGTGGCACACGCCTTTAGTCCCAGCACTCGGTAGGCAGAGCCAGGCAGATCTCTGTGAGTTCGAGGCCAGCCTGGGCTACCAAGTGAGTTCCAGGAAAGGCGCAAAGCTACACAGAGAAACCCTGTCTCAAAAAAACCAAAAAAAAAAAAAAAAAAACAGCCTGGTCTACAGAGCGAGATCCAGGACAGGCACCAAAACTACACAGAGAAACCCTGTCTCAAAAAAACAAAAAAAAAAAAAAAAAAAATTCCACTGAAGGTCTAAAGGAGTATTTCTTCCCTTTAACTATTCTTATGTTAAATGCATGAGTCAAAGATTATTAAAAAGAACCCAAATTTGATTAATTACCATTCAACAATCATTTACTAAGATTTGAGGCTAGTCTTTTAACATATTTAGCTGGCTCCTCATTTATCAAATATATTTGGTGGAGTCTCTGCCAGTATTGACTCAGATTAACCAGCTGATGTTTTCAGAGGTAAACTGGTGCAATGGTCTAGCTTGGAGAGAAATGCAACTTCAAACCTATCTTATAGCTTGGAACCTGCCTAACTAATTCATGTTAATTTGGGTGTTCAGCTTCTGTGGGAAATCTGGAAGGGGTAAGAAGATCCAGAAGTATGTTACTCCATATTCTGCAGGTTACTGAAATGGCGGTTAAACATATTACCATATTATCCCTGAAAGTGCGTTATTTTGCTTCCTTCATAGTTCTTCCACACAAGTGTTCTACTTACTTGTTCTTAGATCTCATTAAGAGAAGCCCCACCCCCTACTGTCTGCTTTCTTCTCTTGTTAATAAACTCTCTCACCTGACCCTTCTGTCCACCTCAACTTGTAGTGGGTAGCCATTCCAGCTTTGGTCTGGAAGTTCCAACCCCCTTTGAGGTTTTGGTAACTATCACGCCCACAAGGCGGGGCCAAGGGAGGGCCTGAAGACCTGAGATCAGGAGTGCCCCGCTCTCTTGCTGTTGGGAGCCCAGACTCTAGAGGTGGACAGAGAAGAGTTCTCTCCAGAGAACACCGCCGAACTACTGCTGCGTCTTTCCCAGAACCCTCAACCTACCTATTCCTTCATTTGTAAATTACGCCATTAAATAAATCTCCTTTTAACTACGTGGAGTGGCCTTAATAATTTCACCAATATCAACTCTTTCTGAATGGCCCTTGCTCATGTACGTAATCTCACCACCATCAAACACCCTTCTCTCCAGCTGCCTGGTCAGGTACCCACTTGACCATGTGTCTAGTGTGATTTTGGCTTGTCTCCTGACCTCAAGTGACAAAGCCAGGCCAGAGATCACCACGCCGAACCCAACCTTTTCTTCATTTTTTTTTTTAAGCCTTTCTTGTGTTCTTGGCTCCTGCAGTTCTCCAAACATAACAAACCCTTCCACTTGTCCAGATCTTTGAGCACCCTTATAACTCTCATTAAAATACCTCTCCACCTGGCAGGCATTTATTTACCCAACTTTAACAGGGTGTCTCAAGACCCATTTCAAGATTTATCTCCTTTGTTAAATCCCTTCCCTCATGCAGAGTTACATTTCTCCCTTTTCATTTCTAGGACTTCCAAATTGTCTGTGCCTCATGCTGATTACCTTTTCCAGGGAATGTGATGTCTTTGCTGGCATTCACAGATGTTTATAAGAAGCGTCACTTAGCAAGTAATGAAAAGATTGTCATCAACTGATTAAGACGAAAGGTCATCGTTTTGTCAGTGGGAAAATGTAAATACTGAATAAATATGGCAAATTAAGAATTTTCAATTAAAAACTGGGTTCCAAAGGGTTAGAACTGTCTAGATAATTGCTCAGGCTCTGGAGACGGCTGGGAAACAAAATCTAGCTGCGCGCGCAGCTTTCCAATTGTATGATGCTGGTCAGTTAAGTGCTTGATTTCCCTGGGGCTCAATGTTCTCAATCGAAAAATGTGCCTTACAATGGTAACTTCCAAGCTTTTTGTGAGGACTGGGTAAGAGCATAACAGTTTGCCACATGTAGTCAGATAACCAACAGTTTGCTAATAACAGCGTTTTCACTGTTGCTGTCTTTTTGATGTTGCTCATCTTATTTGACCCTGGGATCTCTAGGGGAAAATCTCCCAGGATAAACAGTCTATGAACAGCTGTAGCTCTCCACTGGGGACAAATTCGCCCTCCAGGAGAAGACATTTGACAATGTCTGCTGCCATTAAACAAGTGGTAGCTGCAAATGTACATGGTAGCAACTCTGTATCCAAAAAAATTCACCACTCCAAACAAAAGTGAGTGAGATAACGTATTAATCTTTTTTTTTAAATAATGCTAGCACACTAAATGAAATCCATCCAATATTATCACCTATCTTTTTATTTCTGTAATGCACAGTAGATTCTGAATGCTTGGTCTTCAGAAGTGAAATAAGGAACATACAGTCTTGGGATTCAGTCAGGCCAAAGTTTTGAGATGTTCGTTCCTGTTCACATGAGCTGTTTCACCTAAGGAGCCTCCACTCACTTCCCAAGAGAAAAAATGTATCCTTGCACATCTTCCATGTCAAAGACAACTAGAAGTGTGTTTGTATATTTTGAAGGAAGTTATCAGGGAAAGACAGTCATTTTGCCAGCTACCCGCAGAGGGTTCTTAAAGGCAAAAGAGAAAATAGTTGTATATGATTCGGCAAAGGAAAGTGGGGCTTATTACCTGTTGCTTGAATGCTAAAAGGTCTTATTAATAAAACAAAACAAAACAAACAAACAAAAAACAAACAAACCCTGGAACCAGATATGGGGGTAAATGCTGAAAGATCAGAGAGACAAAGGAACAAGCCACTGCCATGTCTCATCTTACCAATTCCACAAATCCTGTCATTGAAATCCTGAGTCCCCACCCAAAAGGCTCCAGGCGAAAAAGCCTTTAGTTCCTGTCTCTTCACGCCTTATATACCCTTCTCCACCGAGGCATCACTTCCTAGTGCTGGGATTAATGGTGTTCTGTTTCTCTCCTAGACCGAGTCAATCTCATGTAGTCCAGGGTGGCTTTGAACTCACAGAGATCTAGACGGATCTCTGAATCCCTAGTGCTAGGATTAAAGCTGTGTGTTACCACTGCCTGGCTGCTAGGTTTAATTTTGTGGCTTGTTTTGTTCTCTGATCTTCAGGTAATTTTTATTAGGGTACACAATATATCACCACACTTGCATTTTAGCTTTGTTATGAACCCATGATAGTCATCTGCACTTTGATATTCCACAGGCTCTGTGACACAATATGTCACCACAGTCCCCTTTTTTGTCTAAAATAATATTAGGTTATAACTAATATAAGAAAAACTATATACAATAACTACAATAAGTATATAGAGTCTATACGGTTAATAATTACATTAACAATGTCCAGCCCATTAACATTTGACAAATTCAGAGAAAATACTCCATTATTTATCTGATTTTGGTGAGTCCAAAATGATGTACCTAATTCATGTTCTATCCTAACTTGTATTACCAACTCAAAACTATCTTTTGATATTTTTTGAAATTACACACTTTACATTTCTTTAGTGAGTTTCTTTTCTGAATTTGTTAACAAGGAAAATTATAACTATAACTATCTAGTCTTCAACTCCATCAGACATCCAAGAAGGAAATAATATTACCTAAGTAAGCTGGAAGTGTAGATAAGCAACTTCCAAAAATGTGAGAAATGAAAAAAACAGCTGGCTGCCTGGACAATCACCCAAGATTCCCCTACAATGATGGGGCATCCATCTTCAGCCTACAGGCCTAGCATATCTGTCAGACTCATTGCAA